TTGCAGCCGAGAATACCGATCAAGGAGAAGCGACAGTAGCTGTCGGTGCCTTTGATATCGGATGTACCATTTTCACAGCATGACTTTGATTAATATACAACTTAGCACGCTGAGAAAACATGCCTATTTTCTACACTGAGCGAAATAGTTTGGCAAATTATCTGAAATTATTGTTATAGTCCATGCGCAAATGTTGCAATGTGATTTAATTACATTGAAGTAGTTAGGGTTAATAGCAATGGTGAAATTTCGGCACCAAAATATAATTCATTATGTAATAATTAATTATTTGTTATAAAAGTAAAAGAGGTTTATTATTTTATAGTTTATCTATAAAATTTGTTCGATATTTGGTTAATTTATTGTTAAAGATGTAAAATAAAAGCCCCATATTTAAATTACCTTTTCCTTAAGTAAAAATAAGGGTGCCAAAATTAATTTAGGTAACAATTAAAAAGCCATTAAGTTTGAGAGGTTTAACTAAATATTTGCAATGTGCATATATGTTCAAAGCTTTTAGGTTTAAAAAGTACTTACATATTTTTAGAATTTCTAGATGTGTAATATATTAAAAGGACTTTCAAGTTTATCACTCATTTCTGTAGAAACAAGTGTTTTTTCGTCAAGTTAAACCAGATGTCATTTAAGGTTTATGTATTTAGAGTTAAATACCTGGCCTGGCTATCACCCAGACAATACAAATATGTCCATTGGACTCCATTCGATATACAATTTTGGATGTCTAGACGTCCAAAAATGAGTTTTCTGGACTTCCGACATCCAATGGACGTCCAGTGAAGTATACAAATGACGCACTTTTGACCATTCAGAGGACGTCCAATTCTAGAATATATTTGGACGTCGAATACTGGACATTCAAAAAACGTCCAGGATTATATTTCCATTGAGACCACATCTTCACTTTTTTTACAGAACCGCAACTCAACACACACTATTTTATATTATTAATAATTTGTTTATTATTTTCGCAAACAGCTATACACCATTTATTTATTTTTTTAATAAAAATCGCTAAAGGCCAACAAATATTTTATTTGGACGAAACTGGGGTGAATGAAAGTTACACAGTTAGAAAAATGTGACAGGACACAAACATTCAATCTTCACGATAGGCTTTCTTGGAAGGGTTATCTACAGGATTGAAGGTTCCTTCCGGTAAAGGACGACTCATATTGAAAGTAATGACGGGTTTTCATAACGTGGTTCTTTAATATTTCAGTCTAAAAAAACCGGAGACTACCATGAAGATATGAACGCTGATGTTTTTGAAGAATATTTTCAGCAGATGATAAAACATTTATCAAAGGGTTCAGTTATGGTAATGAATAACGCTAGTTACCATTCCCCTCTATTTGAACGTTATGGAAGAAAGATGATATCATTAAGTGGCTAACAAACAGAATCATTAACTTTGCAGAAAATCAATAAAAATAGAACTACTAGAAATTGTGAAATTAAATAAGCCTCCAGCACGTTAAGTAGTAAATGAACTTGCAAAAACACATGGTATTGATGTTGTGCTTCTTTCTCCCTATTACTGCAAACTAAATTCTACTGATATGGGCACAAGTTAAAGGATATGTAGGTCGACATAATACGACATTTAAGTTAGAAGATGTAGAATCATTGTTAGAAACCTCCATATCATTTGTTACAGTGGCGGCGTTAAGGCCCCACAAGGCCGTGTTTAGGGGGCGGGTTTTAGTGGTTAGTAACCTCCCCGAAATTATATATCAAATAATAAAGTTCAGAAAATCCGACTGTAAAAGCAAAAAACTCAGAAAAAAGTAAAAACAATCTTTAAAATAAAAAAAAAACATTAAACTTGAAATTGTTTAAATAAAAATTAAAAGTAAGGAGTTATTAAATCCCAAATTAAAAAATCCAAAAAATCCGCAAAAAAATTAAAATAAAAAAAATTCGCTAGATTAAAAAAAACAGAAATTCGGATAAAATCCGGCGATTGGCAACACTGGATTGAATTATGAATACACCTACTGCAAACGTAACTATAGATAGCGTAGTGTAGATAAATTTTCACATAGGGGAAAGTCGAGTAGCATCGGACATGATAACAAATCATTGCAAAACATACTTTTATTAACAAAGTTGTCCAACAAAATTATATTCAAACGATTATTTTACATGTATATTCCAACCAAACAAACCAAAAAACATAAATATTTAAAAATAAATACAAATTCTTTGAACAAAGATAATTAAATATATTTGAATTCTGAAAAATTGGCGGGTAATACCGGACACGAAAAAAAGTTGCTGTTATTGCAGCACAAAACAAAAATGTTAACAGTTATCACACCTGTAATACATTTGACCTTTTTCTACATCAGTACAAGCCTCATGGACCCAGTTTTTATATTCACAACACTGGATCCAGTCTTCGTCGAAACTTTCATGACAAATGAGACAATAAGTTTTTTGGGTTTCTTTAGTCTTCTCTTTATGTTCTTTTCGTTTCTTCTGTTCTTGTGCACCTGGTTTCTTGTCTATATTTGCATTATCACTTAAATTTTTCTTTGCCTTATTAGCCTTGTTTTTATTTTTCTCTTCCAACTCATTTTTAAATGGAGTGGAAGTAAGCACTTCACTTTTTTTAGCACGTCTTTTTCTTGAAACCATTCTACGTTCAGCAGCATTGGGGATTGGAGAAATTTCTTCTAGAAGATCACTAACACTTTTTCCTAAAGTTGTATTCGGATCACTAATATTTTTTTCGGCAAATTTTCTCCTGCCTTTGGTTGGATTTCTTTGTTCAGAACACAGCAGGTTCATTTGGCTAGTTGAAGGCTGGTTAGTTGAAAGTTGGTAAGTTTCATTTAATATGCAGATGTTTACGACTTTTTTACATGGAGTTTTTATTTCAGATGTACCAGGAAGTTCTTGTTCGTTGAGCTTTGGCGGCGTTTTTGGTAACGTAGGTATTTGTAGGTATTCTAGTGATTCTATTGGCACGTTTTCTTTCTCATTACAACTATCATCAACAGAGGGTGTTAAAGCATAAGTTTCTCTTGGTTCTGGGACGTCTAGTCCTTCCGATGCAATAAAATCTAAGTCTGTAAAAATCTGTGAATTCAATGGATAAATGCCGCTACACTCAAAACCTCTCTTAGATAAGTCAATCCTGCAAATTTTCGTAAACGCCTCGTTTACCAGACCTGCGATTTTATAATCACTAATTCTCATAAAGGGATTTTGTCTCATCCAGCGAGATGCTGCTTCATTGTAGGCATCCTTGAATGGTTTCATTACACACACATCCAAAGGTTGCAACTTGAGGGGGTAAGCTTAACATATGGATATGGTTTTTGCGGGCAAAGTTAATGACTTCTAAATCTTTATGGCTGCAATGTCCATCGACAATTAGAAGTACTGGCTCCTCTTCAGTTGCACGTGTAATTTTTACAAACTCCTGCATCCATTTTAAAAAAAATTTCACCGTTCATCCAGCAAGAGTCCTGTGCATGGAACATAGAATTTTTCGGAGCGCCAATTTTCAGTCGCTCAATAATTTTTTTTTCTGGGAAAAATGAATAGTGGAGGTATGAATTGATTTCCTGCCGCATTGATACATAATAATACAGTTATAGTGCGGCCCCTTTCACCAGAAGTCATTTTACCAACTTGTTTTTTTTCCCTTTATTGAGACGACTTTCTGCCGACACACCAGTTTCGTCAGCGTTGTAAATTTTATTGGCCCCATTATGTTTTAGCATTAGGTCTTCAAGTTTGTTAAAACATCTTGTAACTTGTGGTCGATTGAAACCTACTGCTCTCTGTAAACTCGTTGACTCGGCAGGTCTTAAAGATAGCCCAGGATGACGTTTAAGAAATGTATAATAAATTTATCCTTGACACAACTCAAGACATTTCTAGAAAAGATCAACCTTAGTTTGTGCGTCAGATATGTCAACCCAAACCTAAACGAAAATACGACTACTGAAAATATAAGTATAAAAGAGCCAATTTATTGAGATTCAGGATCAAAGTTCAGAAAATTTTGAAAATGTCGTTATTAATTTCTTGAAAGAACTAGAGATTGATATAAAAAAATGTAGAGGCCAAGGGTATGATGAGGCTGCCAACATGAGTGGTAAATATTCAGGTCTTCAAGCAAGAATCAAAAGTAAAGTACCAACTGCCGATTTTATTCACTGTGCTGTACATAATCTAAATCTTGTTTTAAATGATTCAGTGCAAAATATCACTGAAATCAGAATTTTTTATGGACTGTTGGAATCAATTTATTTGTTCTTTAGCCAAAGTTTGCCACGATGGCAGGAGTTGAATAAAACAATACAAAAACAATGGAACAATTTACAAAATTTAAAAAACTATGTCCTACTAGATGGGCATCTCGATTTGATTGCCTATGTGCTTTACGAATTAACTATAAATCCGTGATGCAGTGCCTGTCGACATTAAGTTTATTTTCCAAAAAACAAATCGATAGAGTTGAAGCTAACTCCATCCAAAATAAAACGAACAAGTATGATTTTATTTTGCTTCTTGTATTTCAAAGTAGAGTTCTGGAAAGTATAAATTTAGTTTCAAAGCAGCTGCAAGGCTCAACTTTTGATATTGGACGAGCATGTGACCTAATCCGTTACGCAAAAGAAAATTTATTAGGCATGAAAGAAAGTTTTAATGATTTGGAGAAGGAAGCCTGCAATTTGGGCAAAATCTTGGGACATTGAACCAAAACTAACATCGAAACGACAAAAGAAAGTCAAGATGTTTTTTGTTGAACTAGCAGCTGACTCCCGAATAGAAAATTCCTTGAGATGATTTCAAATTCAAATATTTAATGAATCTTTAGATATAATAATTAATCAACTAACAATACGATATACCATCATGAATGAAGTCATGAAGCATTTTCCGTTTCTAACTCCTGCCCGGTTTGTTGAACTAAGTAATGATGAAATCGTTCGATATTCCAAATGATTATTGCGCAAATATGAATCTGATTTGTCTGAAAGTTTAGCTGCAGAATTAATAAGCTTCAAGGCCGCCTTGTCATACGAAATTCGAAACAAGAAGACCACACACGACTTAGCAACGTATTTTATACCAGAAAATAGATTCCTTCTAAACAGTCTTCCCGTTTTTTGTGCTATAAGACTTAGTGCGATAAGACTTAGTGATTTAGCTATATCGAGCACGAACTTGTCCAGAAATTAGACTTGGAACAATGTGCCAATAATTTTTTTATTTTGAAGAAACGGCGATTTGAAAAGCATTATTTTCTATATTTTTTGTAATATTTATATTTTTTAATTTTATGACGATAATAACAATTAGCGGATCTAGAGGGGGGGCCAGAGGGGCCATGGCTCCTATCAAAATTCATATTTCGTATGTTTTCTCTTTACGGTTGATTCATATTTATGTCCTCCTTATATATGTATCGTATGAGCCCCCCCTCCCTCCAAAAACACATGTCTAGATACGGTACTGACAATTAGTACTTATATTGTCACATAATTTTGCGGGAGGGCCCCCAAATATTTACTGCCGCCACTGACTTGTTACGAAGAAAAATTGGCAAAAGGCAATCGAGTATGTGTTAAATGAAGAAGAAAACGTGTGGAATCTGGACAAAATCGGGGATGTCGATATTACAGTTCCACCTTTAATAATATCAGTAAATAATGACTCATCAAGTGAATATAGTGATTCAGAAACTTTCACGTTTCCTGATCTTCGAGAGTAGGTAAACATAGGTATCTATTTTATATCTTAATGTTATAATCATAGCACACCGGCAGTTAAATTATAATTATTTAAGTTTAAATTAGTAACAAAAAAAAATAATACAAACAAATACAATCGTGTGCTCATCAGAGTCTTAAAAGGGATTAAAATAAAATATTGTCTATGTTCCACCAAATCGGGCTGCACAGGTAAAATTTGGGTTTTAGACATTGTGGTAGTAGAAAAAGTATAGAGAGTGCCACTCGTGCAGAAAACCTATTCTACACATGTGTGATTGTGGCATTCGAATTCGCTCGTACCACAAGTTTCTCACATCGTGTGGAATTGGTTACTTTCTGCACTTGTTGCACAATACCTATACTATTTTAATACATGTGTTTTGTTACTTTTAAATTCAAATGTGATATATATTTCAGTACACGTGTGATATAAGCGCTTTCTTAAGTACCTACAAATGAGTGTACAAACAGTCATTTTCATATGTGGTCGTAGGAAAATAAATTTCATATCTGTAATATAAAAATTCGCAAATAACAGGATAATTAAAAAAATTATCATATTACTTACAATCTGTCATTTTTTACGAAAATTGAAAGCAAATTTAATAAAGAACAAGTTAGTCTCCACTTAGACTAGACCATATCGAAATCTGGTCTACTAATTCCTCACCTATAAATAAAAAACCAAATGCCTTCAAACCCGGACGTAACACTCACTCCGAAAGAATTTCGACTAATAGCCGAAGTAACGTTAGAAATCCCCAAAACGACAAACAAAAAATGTCCTTATCTCCGACACCGAAATGTGGATACCGTGTCTCGGGTACCGCAACTATAGATAAAGCCGATAAAGCGATCTACTCGGCCGCGACACACATTCCAAGATGTCTGCAATTTGTACCATCGGCGCTGATGACAGTGTAAGGGCCTCCCTATTGGGCAATTAGGTCTACCGCCGTCGCTCGGGAAATCTAGATAGCGTTGACGACATTCGTAATTTGGGCTGATTGCTGCTGCCTACTGTTTTGTCCGGCTGGCGACCCGATTTCGTTGGAAGTGGAAGTGACACCTGAATTTTGTGAATTAATTTGGAAAGTTTGTAGGACTGTAGGTACCTAATAGGTACGCGTTGAAAATGCAATTGATTTTTTCTTCGTTTTATGGCTTTGGTAGTGTCTACCAAATTAGCCAGTCTCAGTTTGTGATTTAATTTGATTTGTTTCCTGGCGCCATCAGAATTATTTTAATTAAATAAAAAAATCCCGGCCAACGGTGGACCCTTGGATTTAAATATTTACTTATTGCATCAAAACAATTTCTGTTTTTAAAAACCGCCTGACTGCTTTTAATTTTGTTTCAAAATTCACTTTATTTTATATGGAAATGACGATTGGCATAGAATACATTGCCTAAAATGATGCAGGTTTGAATTGTTCTATAAGTTCCCCAAAATATGCTAAAAGCACATTCTCAAAGAATTAGTTTACATTGGTTTTTATACGTCAGTCCATAAGCTTTTGGTATACCATTTTATACCTTGCCCTTGATTTTAAAGGCTGTAACTTGTTAGTAATATTAGCAGCTTTTTCAAGAATATTAGGAGGAGTTCCTCGAAATTCATTTTTAATATCTGACAAATTCATTTTATTCTTTAAAAAAATAATTTTGTAACTATAACAATGGAGATTTTTCTATTTCTGAAATGTCAGAACTGTTTATCGTAACCATGGCGATCACCTAGCAACGGAGTAATATGAATAGTTTGATAATTAAAACTGTTATGTAATATATATAATTACGTAACAGATTTGGGATTTCATTAAGTAACAGTATCTGTAATGATGTAATTACTTGTAAACAAAACGATACATAATATACGATTGTGTGGTTGTAGATAATAGTTATTTACGATATAAGTATCGTAATATGAATTTACCATAGGAATATTGTACAAAATTTTATCTACTATCAAAAAAAATAAATAACTACCAGATTTTCTGTACATTGATATGACAAAGATGAAGTTAGCCGTCTGTTAGATATTTGAATTCACCTTTAGCGTAGTCATAATTGACATTAATAATTTTTGCGAGACAAAACATAGTAGCCTTGTGTAGTTGCTAGGTAGTTGCTAGGTATTGTTTGTTGGCTAAATAATAACTCTAAATAATAACTCAAAATAATAATTATCATGAATATTTGTGAAGAAAATATGTCTTGCATTGAATTGGCAGCTAACGAAGCCATTGAAACTTTAATTCCTGCAAAATCTAGGAATAGATATGAAAAAGAGTTCCAGCGATTTAAAGAATGGTGCAAATTAAAAAATGTCGATGGTGTTTCGAAAAAGATTTTATTGGCTTATTTTTCAAAAGAGCCGCAGTTGAGAAACCATCTACATTGTGGACTCACTATTCCATGTTAAGGACCACTATTTCGATGAAGAGAAACTTGGATATTTGCAAATATACCGAGCTGTTGGCTTTCTTAAAACGGAAAAGTGAAGGGTATAATCCAAAAAAAAATCAAGAATTTTTTCTAAAAACGAAATACATACATTTTTAAAAGAAGCCAACGATGAAGCTTATTTAATGATGAAGGTAAATTTTATTAGTTTATTTGTCATAGTGTGTTCGTCTCCAAAAGGATAGCAGTCTATCCAAACGTTGACATTTCCGAAGCCACTAGAAGTAGGTAGTACTGAACTTCTTTGAAAATTTAATCTTTTTGTAGGTGTCCTTAATAATTGGTGTTTTGGAGCCTGTCGCAGAGAAGAACTCACCAATTTGAAAATAAATGATATTGTTGATGAGAAAACGTTTATTAAAATTGAAATTTCAAATACGAAGACTAAAATTAAACGAGAATTTGCAGTTACCACAGGAAACATTGACGGCTTTGACTGACTGTCTGCATGCATTCAGAAAATATTTTAGCCTTCGTCCACAACATACCACTTATACTCGTTTTTTTGCTTACTACAAAAATGGAAAGTGCACTTCACAACCTGTAGGAGTTAACACTTTTGGGCGCATTCCAAAAGAAGTTGCTGCTTTTCTAAAATTGACAAATCCAGGGCAGGGATACACCGGGCACTGTTTCCGAAGATCCTCCGCGTCCCTTCTTGCTGATGCTGGTGCAGATATGCACACTTTAAAAAGACACAGAGGGTGGAAGTCCACTTCTGTAGCTGAAGGCTATGTAGAAAGATCTATAGAAAATAAGAGAATAATAGCTAGTAAAATCATGGGAAAACAGAGTATTCCCATTGATACCGTCGTTGAAAATATTGGTGAATCTGTTACGTCTATTCTATACCGGCAGAAAAACAGAATATTACCACTGAAACGACTGTTGAGAATATCAGTACATCTCTAGCATCTACATCTGTAGGACTGAATATTACCAACTGCAAAGATTTTGTCATTAATGTTTATAAGTAAGGTTAACAGATTTTGTTATTAATGTTTATAAGTAAAGTAAAATATTATTTTATGTAAGTTTATGTTGGCCAATTTATAATAAAATAATTTGGAAAAACAGTAATTTAATATTTTCTCTTAATTTTGTAAATAAAATCATTTTTCAAAAATAGGTTACCTGATGTTATATAATGTAAAAAGTAACATATTGGGAATTCCGATACTTTACCTAACTAGTGCGGTAAAGTACATGATTACGAAATTCAAATGACAACTGTAAAGTTTGACGTTACATACTGATAGTAGATAAATATAATTATGTAACAGTTTTGGTATTTCATTACGTAACAGTATCTGTAATGATGTATTTACTTATAAACAAAACGATAATAATAGATGATTTACTGTGGTGATTGTAGATAAAAAATATTACATAACAATTCAAAGTTTAACTAAGCTTTAATCACCTGTAAAATCTGTATAAGATTTAAAATGAAAAGAATCAAGTGAAATAAACAAAGGTTTCCAAAGAGGTTTTTAATATTTCAAGAGCCTAAAAATATGGTGTGATTTTTGGAAAATACCTTAAAAAACCGAGGGGATCTGCTGGTTTGGTTGGAAATCGGCAAAGTCAACTCAAAATTCCCTGTGCTCTGCTGGCCTTATTTGGCATGTTAACAGGTAATTAATTCTTTAGTGATAGTAGAATTGGGGTAGGTATTCTATGGGTTATTGGGAGCTGAGAAAACTCTAATTTGAAAATCAAGGTTCGATCCCTGGCGTGGGCTCATTTTTTGTTTTTCAACTTTTCTTTGGTTTGTGGAAATGGATTCTCATTTTCACATTTCCGATAATCTCTCGCTTCTTAATTAACTTTCGTATTGGGATCTGAAGATAAGCGATACGCCCTCTACTATGAACTAAATGTTGTGGCCATTTGACACTTGACGGTCTGTGGAATATCAGTGAAAAGCACATTTGTTGTGTGCCTCAATGCAGACCTGAAAAAAATGGACCCTCTTATATTTCGTCTGCTTCCTAAAGTTGGTAAATGTAGGGTAATTTTTATAAAATGCAAGTGGAAATTCTTAAATTGTGGTAAATTGTGGATGTAAGAAATGCTTGGTTACAAATATTGAAAAGTCATTGAAAAGTCAGTAACAAAAAGTATTTGAATATTTGTTCCCAGCATTTTAAAGATGATTATTTGCCTAGAGGTAATATAGATTTATTTTTCGATTGAATATTTTTATTTAAACTTTTTTGTGTGTCAGATACATCATCCCAAGTGAAAATAAATATTGAAAAAAAAAAAAGAAGATACAAACTAAAGAAAGTTCAATCAATGTTAAATGTGATAGTGAGAATTAACAAGTCATAGTTGAGAGTGATTTGTTTCAAGATAACCTAGCTACTCATACCAAATAAGACATAGAGGTTGCAAATACTCTTTTTCAAGTGTATTGACATTAGTGTACAAGGGCATACCTACCCCAAAAATTAAAAAAAAAATAGATCTTTTATAATCTGACAAAGAGTTGTGTTCATTCACTGGCATTAACAACTTTAACGTACTGTACTAGAAAATACAGTGAAATCAGCTGAAGTACTTCAGAAGATGGCCTATTGGGTATTGTAACTCAATAATGAACGTTTATTATTATGTAAACATTGGCATATTTTATAAACAGGAAAAATTAAAAAACATTTGATTTTTATGTTTATTGCTTATAATAATATAATAATATAATATTAATATTTTATTAAAACATAACATAAATATCTTAAATTTACATAAATGATTGAAAGTAACTCAAAAACAAAACTAATAGAGGATTACTTACCAAATAAAAATGTATCTTTTACTTTAACCTAGAAGCTATTGAAACAAAAGTGTATAATCACTAAAAATTAACAACAACAATATGTTTTCCTTAAAATAGCACAGTATAAACAAAATACTTTTTATGGGCTGTTTAAAAATTGAAAAATGTAAACAAACAAGCCACAACATTTAGTTTAAATGTCAAGTACAGACGGCGCTGCGATCTTAATTTTAGATCTCAATTAGGCATTCCAAACTGAATGGCTACCAGTGGGTTTTGACGGGTTATGATATGGCAAAATTATGGCAACCCTGTAGGCCTGGTGATTTGACAAGGTCAATGAAATAGATAGTTACATAGATTGATTATCCATATTTTTCAAAATAAACATAAGCGTATGCCTTGAAGTAAAAATGTAAGCAATTATTTTTTTTAAAATATCTAAAGGCTAAAAATTGGTTTTAAAACACATTTTTGCTAAACCGATTCAAATTAATAAATATTTGCCAGGCAATATGGCCGCTTGTAAACGACCAGCTTTGAGCAATCTATATAATATATATAGTATATAGTAATATATATAGTATATATATGTATCATTGACCCTGTTAATGACAACAGGGTTGCCATATCTAAACTGTCATTACCCACTGGTAGCCATTTGGACAGGTCGTTGGAATGCCTAATTGATAGTTTTTTTCTTAAGTGTCGTGTGAGATATTATTGTACGGTTTGACGTAACACACTTAGTGCGGCCAATCAAATCCTACAATTTACTGAAATGTTTTATAACAAATTTCAATCTTCAGCAGAGAGATGTAAAATCGTAGGTAACATGATACAAGTAGTTTAAAATGGTGTCGATGTTCTATCTGCTATTTGCAACTATTTCTACCGCAGTGAACCTGCGCAAACGTCCTTATTTCGTATAACATTTAAAAGTATTTAGGTTTATCACATAAGTTATTTTAATTTTCTTCTGAATTATATTTTTGTCGAAATTTTATAAATGTATGTGAAGAACCAACCCGAGGCACTGATCTGAGTACGATATTCGGAATTTTCAAGAAAGTTGCCCCTTTTTTCCTTGTGGATGCTGTTTAAAAGACATTAAGAATAAAAATGAGCAGTCTCACGAAGGTAAGAATTTCAATTCGTACCCATCAATTACGAAGGATGAATTATTCATTTTTAATGATATATCTTTGAAGTAATTGACGACTGACACATTATTTCGAAGGAGAAACAAGTTAACTAGGTATATCCTCTCTAAATGATAGTAATATTATCGCATATAACGTATATATAAAACATTTTTAACCTACTGCAGCTTCTGTTTAATTATCGCTAGTATGCGCAATTACCAGTGGCGTGCGAGAATTATGATTTCAAAAAATAATAAATATTTTGTTGCATAATTCAGTGAAATAAATTTACATTTGAAAAAATTTGATGATATAAATAATTAAAATAGGTTGTAAACTAGGCGAAAGTGTTGCACATTTGATGGCGGGACTTTAAATTAGTGGCGTAACTATTTAAAATTTAGAACAAAGTTAATTTGTAAAAAGAAAGAAGATATATTTTTTAATATTTGTTAATTATAGTTGTGCTTTAATCCTTTATAATTCCTTTGAATAGTGTACATAATAGTATGGATTAGACGTGTTTCAGAAAATATACAGGGTGTTTTCAAAGTTGAGTCATTTATTTTAACAGCTTGTAGAACTCGTCAAAAGAGATCGATATACCAAAATATCACCTAAATAAAAGTTGCATAATAAAGGAGTTATAAGTTTTTTTAACATTAAAAACATTCATTATCGTTAAAATGTATTCCATTTTTACAAAAATTGTTCAAAATTGTCACCATTTGTCCGATTAATGCATAGTCTTGCTCGGCGTACCCACGACTCCTGACAGGCCTCTAAAATAAAATCCGGATGTCCGCGAATAACATCACAAGCATTTACAATGCGGTCTTGAAGTTCTTCCACAGTATTTACTTCTCCATCATGATACACCAACTGTTTTAAATAACCCCACAGAAAAAAATCACAAGGCGTTAGGTCCGAAGAGCATGCAGGCCAAGAAACGGATCTATTCCTCCCTATCCATCTATTCGGAAACTGTTCATTCAAATATTCACGAACTCCTCTTCCGAAATGCGGTGGGGCTCCGTCATGTAGAAACCACATATCCTGCCTAACATTCAGTGGAACATCTTCTAATAATTCTGGCAGATGGTGTCGAGGAAAATCTAAATAAATGTCACCGGTTAGCCGAGATGGAAAAAAGTATGGTCCAATAAGCATGCCATTTACCACACCAGCCCAAACATTTAATAAAAATCTATGTTGGAAATTAGATATTCTTACGGCATGCTGATTTTCTACTGCCCAAACATGTTTGTTGTGAAAATCGAATATCCTATTTCGTGTAAATGTGGATTCGTCTGTAGCTAAAATTATTTTCGTAAAATCTTCATTTCTGTTCAAGTGTTGTAAAAACCACTGGCAAAATTCAACTCTTCTAGGACGATCTTCAGGTTGTAATGCGTTGATAATGATAAGGATAATATTGTTCCTGTCGTATTGTTTTCCACACTTTACTATGGGAAACATCGACTTGAATTGCTGTGGCTCTGGTACTTATTGTTGGGTCATCTTAAAACAAAAAAAAAATAGCCATACCTAGATAATTAAAATTGTCGTAGTAAACAAACAACGATAAGTTTTTACTTGGCAGTGGTCAGGAATATTAAATATGCAACTTTTATTTAGGTGATTTTTAGTACATCGACTTCTTTTGACGAGTTCTACAAGCTGTTAAAATAAATGACTCAACTTTGAAAACACCCTGTATAACTATATATGTACGGGAGTTTGTCAAGATATTCAAGTTTCAAATTAGTAGGTTATTATCAACTTTATTATTACATGAAAATTGTATATATAGGGTGTTTATTAATTGAGTGCCGATATTTAAAGGTGTGAATCCTTGGGCGATTTTAAAAGGAAAACTTAATATCAACATAAGTCTTAAATCTCTTAATTTTTGAACTCCAGATATTTTTATGAAATTTTCTACAGACATTATAATCATTAAGGAGAATTTTGTGGCGTTATAGATTTTTTAAATTTTTCCCAGTTACGTTCGTACGGAGTTTGAACTGAATATTTTTGAAGAAAAAATTGCACTCCACTGCTTTTTCTAAAAATTAAAATGATTTTTAAAATCTTTATTTTGCAAAAATTTGGCCCACCGGACTAAAGGAGTCCATGAAACAGTAAGAACACCGGAACTTGAAGAAATTGTACATGAAATTGAGGAGAACCCCGAAACTAGCACGAGGAAAATCGCGGCAACATTTAATATTTCACTCGTTCGAAAAATTCTTTACAAAAATTTGTTATTCCCATATCAAACATTCAAAGAGTCCAGGCATAACTCCTTAGAAATTTCCCGTTTCGCATTAATTTATGTCTTTTTAATGATTGACATTCTTAAGTATTGGCACTCAATTAATTGATACCCTTTATAACTTTTCGTTATTTGCGCAAAACTTTTCTATACCAGTTTCTTTTTCTTTACAGGGAAGAATTAGCAATGAAAATTGGCCTTACAGAAGCCAGAATACAGGTAAGATTTAAATTTACTTAAAATGAATTGAAAATATACTTTAGAATAGAGTAAACTTTATTTTTCGTGCTAGTGAATAATAGTCTGTGACTTACAAAACATATCTCTATAAACACTCAATACATTGACTGTTTTTAGTCATTAAATAAAATAAGCCCAACTAACAAAGTAGCTTTATAATTTTTAGTTTACAAGAATATTATATTTTATTGATATTATATTGCTGTTTCTGGAATGCTAATTTATTGTACTACAGTTGCAGAAATCACTATTTTGTTCTCTGAAACTAAATAGTTATATAAATTAGTTTTTACAATATTCTTACAGCAAAATTATAAAATAGTTTTCACGATAACTATGAAATTGTTACATAAACATTTATACAACTGTTCTATACAATATTTCAGCTTATAAAATAAAATTGCTTTATAGTTATTCTATATTATTGTTCTGGATTACCTTTAGAACTTTTTGGTCATACAAATATAACTGTTTCTTAACCTCATAATAACGCTTTAAAAAATAGTTATATAAATATTAGTGTGAGATAATTCCGCATCAATAGCAATTTGCTTCTGATGAAAACTCTAAAATAACTGTAATATATTGTCGAAATACACTATTACAAATCAGAAAACTGTATAGCAATTATTTTAGTTAAGAATAGTATTATCCCTTTAAAAATATTTATAAAAAAATAAAGCAACTACTTCCCATACCAATTGTATGTGAGTGTATGGTCTGAAAATGTCAGATGTAAATAGTGAAGAAATATAAAAAATAAGTGGTACCTGCTTTTTAGAGAACAGTAAAAAATATTAGTAAAACATTTTGATGGTTTGTCTAGACACTCAAAAAAAAAAACTATCATTTAGCCAGATAATAATTAGGTATGTTCTGAATAATCATGCCCCAATACTAAAAGAAAGCCATATTTTTGGCGATGTCCATGTTAAATTTGCTTATTCTCGTAATATTAAAAATTATGCTTGCTCTACAAAGCTGTAGAAACAAATCTAATCATTTCAATTCCCAAATACTTAAATCGGAAACGATTTAGTAAGGTTATGTTATATTTTGTCATATAGTGCAGCAATATGAAACTATTATACAACAAACCATGATGAACTTGTTTTGTAGAAATGAGTAATACAACTTAATTATTGTATTACAGCTGTTTTTACTACAATAATATTTTATAATTATGATTCAGTCTTAAAATAACTTTCTAATACCTCTGAATAGCCGCCATATTTAACACAAACCTAAGACAGTTTTAAAGCTAAATCTACTGTCGGTTTTACTAGTATTTAAGACAAAACCAATGTTAATTAAAGATTTTAATCATTAGTAATATTAGCATAATCTTATTACTAAAAAAAAATCAAATTGCATAAATTTAATTTTTGTTTCACACTGAAAAAGTATTAGAAATATGAATCAAACTCGAGGCGCTTAAAAATTTAGTATTGTATGTGCTATATAATCAACAGTAATTCTTGCTGCGCATCCAAAAACGACTTTATTGTAGGTCATACATTATGTCTAAACCGCGTTATAGATATATCTTAAGTAGATACTGCCATTTTACTAATATCGCGTTGAATTTACTTTTATGACAAATATAGAATTAATTTGTTTTCACCAGATACATTTAAAAAACTAAAATGTTACTGATTTTGATATGCAACCTAACCTCAAAATTGAAAATTTATAAAACAGTTATAAAAGTTTAAAAAAACATTTGTTTAAAGTTTGTGTAAATGTGTAGTAACTGTTCGGTAACTGCATTCAACAAATCTTATAGAATTTACAAAAGAACCAAATAGTTCTGTAATACTGCGCCCATTTTGTGTTTATTACTGTTGAAAGAATGTTCCGGAAATGTTCTTAGCTAATATTCTATTTTATAAATTTTGTTCTGTAAACATTTTTTCAGCTTTTATAAAATATCAAATTGTTACTTGGGAGGCTAGGTCAGTTTCTCGAAAAGTTCAAGTTATTACCATCTTTCCAATATGAGTTTACATACAAAAAAGTACGAATTATGCTATTCGCTCCGTGCGTGACAGCAGCGCCAATTTATGTATGTATTAATGGTCTTTTTTTGAGTATACTGACAATACAATTTTTAATAGAATTCGTAATAAAAAAAGTACATATGTTAGTTTTAATAAAAGTATATGGATTTGTAAAACAAGAAAAACCTTTATTTATTATTAATATATATTTTTATCGCTGTGTATAATGAACAAAAAAATGGGAAATTTAACCCAACTATTTGTATTTCTATCTTCACTAATAAATTTATTATCATTTTTGATATTTATATTATAGGCCTGAAGATGGACATGTACGTAGAAACTAGTCGCGACAATTACTATTTAATTTTATTATGTGGTATTGATGTTGTGCTTTATTTCCATTTTAATGTTTTTCCGTTTAACTTAGTGCATAGGAAAGGGTTAATTTGGTGCAGTCGCACCAAAAAACTCCACCGGAAGTTCGCGGTATTGCAGGAGATATTTGCAGCGGCTGTTCGCCTGACTGTTATAATATATTTAAAAAAGGGCTCCGAGACAATAGGTTAAAACGTAACAAAACAAAAATTTCAATAAGAAAAGTCCAAATTTAAGGGCGTCTGACACCCCTTCAGCACTGGCCTAGCCACATCCCCAACTAGTCATTGATGAAAATATGTTGTGAATCTAAAACCTAAATCATTCCATCTCTAAATCGGAGTGAGACATCCGATTATGTTGACGTAACATAATGGATCGCTGACCATCATCTGCTGCTATACTCGAACAAAATATTGAAGAAGGTGATTCCTCCCTGTTCACGTACAACAATAATACTATATCAGAGCATAATGAATGAAATCACGCGCTTAAAACTGCAGAAGTTATCGGTATCACGTGCCAACTAGTCATAAATGCATGTTTATTGCCAAAATGAATTACGCCAGTGGCGTATAAAAACTAATGGCAAATTAAATGCGGTAATAGTAAATAATATTATATGAAAGTAGGTTGGTTATCTATTTTTGTAGTAATAATCATTTATGTTTTTAATTTTGTTTTGTTTATTGTTAAAATATGTAAATATTATGCCAGTGGCGTAGAAACACTATTGGAAAATTAAATGGGGTATTATACTAGAACAAAATATTGATGAAGGTGCGCCTTAAAACTGCAAAAGGTATCGTTATCATATCAAAATGCACTCTTCCAGTGTCGCAGAAATACTATATTGGCAAATTAAATGGGTATTTGTAAATATTACTAGACGAAAGTAGGTTAATTATCTATTTTTGTTATAATAATTCATCTATGTTTATAATTGTATTTTGTTTATTAAAAAAATATGTAAATTAAGCTTGGTATCACTTACTTGAATTCTAAATCTATGAAGTTTCGTAATCCATTGATTCTGCAAAACTATCACTGGAATCGTCTTTATCGTCGGAACTTAAAGTTATGACTAAAGGTTCAACTACCGTTTCGATCATACCGTCCAAGCGCCACATATTATTTTCTTCCTTAATTACACGGGAAATAGCATTCTGCCAATCTTCAGGTTTTATACGTTCTATACCGGTTTTTAATAAACTTTGAAAGTCGGCTATTTTAAAACTTTCACTTGAGCCCAAATTAGTTCAATAGGATTGAATTCGCAGTGATAAAGGGGAAGTCTTAGTACCGTAATACCACGATCACGAGCCATTGTGTCGACAACATATTGAATATATTTATGGCGGTGTTCCTTTATTAGGTCCATTAATTCCATTTTAAGCATCTCCTCAGTAAATGTTATTGCTTTATCCCGCAGCCAGGTTTGCATATCCGCTTTCCTACTGGACGTTATCGGAATGCGTTTAACTCGTCGAATGTGATAAGAAGCGTTATCTAGTACAATAATTGAATTTCGTTCTACACGCTGTAATACTTCAGTAAACCATTTTTCAAAGAATTCCGCATTCATGTCCTCGTGGTAGTCTCCTGTTTTTTTTTTTTCGATATAAACAAGAGCGCTATTTTTCAAAAATCCACTGTAACTTCCGATATGGGTAACAATTAGGCGCTGTCCTTTACCTGATGGTGCTTTTAAACCTGTAGATAATCCCTCTATAAAAGCTTGGCCATGACTAGTTACAGAAGTATCTTGCCATATCTTAGATACCGTGTGTCCAGCATTTACCCACGTTTCATCGAGATAATATATATTTTTTTAGCGGCTCTAAACTCTTTAATATTTCGTAAATAACACCGCCACCAGGACACTATATCTGACCTCTCAAATAAAATTGATTTCCTACACCGTTTGACAAAACGAAATTTTAGGCCCCTTAAAATTTTTCGTAAAGTTTCACGGCTCATTAATGGAATTTCTTCGTTTTTTCTTAATTTCGTAAGAACAAGTGTTGGGGCTTTGTTTTCGAAAAAAAAAAAAAAAAAGAATGTACAGTTCTTCGAATGATTTGTTTTTGGTTATCGTCCAATTTCAACAATTTTCGACCACGAGTATGAGTTTTAGGGGCTTCCAAGGAGCCTTTTTTTGTCTTTTCGCGTACAATACGTTCAATTGTTGAAACAGATACTCCAGTTAAAAAAGAACTGCGGTTTACAGCTTCATTTGTAGGAAGTGTCTGTTTCAGCCCATCATACACTTTCCATATAATGTTCTTTTCATCCTTTGATAAGGGCTTTCGCCGACGTAATTGGGTTTCACTTGGACCCGCCTCTGAATCCATTACTATTTTAACAATATAATTCTACTGTTAAATTGTTTTTATTAAATTTATAAAGACACCAATATTTTACTATTTAATAAACTTTTAAAGTACCTACCTAATATACTACACAATAAATATAACTCCTCGAACATGCACTACCACAGACCACAACCAAATTGTAAGGCACAAACATGAACACCTACTCGTATATCAGAAAAGAGCACTTATACCAAAAAGTGTTCATAAAATATAAAATAATTATCGT